AGCCGAGAGCGGCTGTGTTACGAAAGCGGTGCGACCCGAGAAGCCCCGGTGAAGAGTGGCTGCGGCAGGCGGGGACGCGCAGGCCCAAGCCCGGGGAAGGGTTTTTAAAACTCCCATCTGAGGGGATTTTTCTCCCCCCCGCAAGGGCCCCTGGCACAAGTGAAACTGGAAACAACGGGGTCTACAATAAGGCAGAAAACTGGCAATTAAATTTAATGTACATTTTTGAGGAAAAAGGACAGCTGTTGGGAGAATTCTGGGAACAAAATGGGCAGAGGAAGAGAGAATTCCAATAGGTTCTCAACCAGGATGTACTTTCCAACCAAACCTCGTTGTCTGGGGAGAATGGAAGATCCCTCCAGTTCCCCGCTGCTCCTACAGCACAGGTTATCACCCTTTTATGGTCCCCGATCAACCTCACCCAGTAAGCCACATGCTGCAGGTAACATCTCGCTTTCGCCAAGGGACAGTACGGCGAGCGGAGCGGAAATCAAAGCACGGGGCTTTGTGGGGAGTTTGTTACCTGCCAGCCAGAAGTTGAAGACTGCTGCTCTAGACTGTCCCTCTCTCTGGATAGACTGATAAACAATACAATTTTGCAGAAAGCCCTCAGGTCCCTGATGGGAGAAGTTCCCAGGTCAGACTCGTTCAGAAGCTCTCCCCTAGAAAGCAAAGTGACACCGGTTTGTGCTTTCCCCTCTCAGCACCCACGGGTGGGATTTAACTGTTCTTACAGAACTGGAAGCAGTTGGTGGTTTGATAGTTGTGCCCTACTTTTACACGAAGGTAAGAGGCAAGACCTCTCCAAAATAAGAGACTGCCTCCTACTGCGTAGCTGTTTCCCTGGTTAAAACCAAGACACCTCTCAGCACAATAGACAGAACTGCTTAAAGTTCAGGAGAAACAAGTTGTGTCAACATCATGTTTTTAAAGAGCCACAAATGGAAAAGCTCTTCACACACAAATATTTGTACTGGAAATAAGCTGTAATTCGTCTTAACTGTGGTTGGGGTCTTAACTGTTCCATTTCTATCTCCATCATGGAAATTAATTCTATGGAATAATAGTAACTATTTCCTCTTGATAAATGGGAGTGGGACATAATTTTTCCATCTGTCTTCCATTGTTTAGCTCAATTATTTAGGGATTGTTTTATGAGACTAAGTAATAGGGAAAGGAGGAAGAACAACCCAGTCATTTGGCACATCAAGCCCTTCTGCAAGTCCTCCAGGACTTCTGTAACTCCAGATCTTGTCTATTTTTTCTACAGAAGTCCCTCCCTTCCTATCAACGATATCTGTAGTATCAGTCCAGCCATAGATGCATTGTTTACCAAGTTTCCTCCTTTAAGGAGCTAATGAGGAACTTGTGCAAAACAGGTATAAATTACAGTGAGGGACACAAGCGCAGTACAAGCATTTATCACAACCATCAGTAAATGCAGGTGATTTTGAGGGATATGGCCATCATGGATACCAAAAGGAAGGCAATAAGTCTTCTAGTGTAAGGACTTGAGAAGATTAACGTCTCCATCTTCCAATGCCTAAGAAATCCTTCCAAAGCTAAATTAACCAACATGAGTAGCCCATACTGTTGTAGCAACAGAATGTGTGTAATTTCAATTTAACTGTTAATTTATGAATAGGAACAGACTGGGTGCTGGTAAAGTTAATGGAAACTTTGTGGTCACTTCAGGTAAGACCATAGTTTCATTATCTTACTCATAATTAAGCTACAGAGGGTCTAGTAATGAAGCCTAAACTTGGAGGGAAATTGCCAGGAAATTCTAACCAGTAACAAATTTACCTACCTTCTATGTAATTGACTTTCTGTGGAAGCTGAAGAAGTGGAATGAACAGTGATTCTTCCTTCACAACCAGAGAAAGGTTGATTATTTTCAAATTCAGATATCCCATTGGAAAAAAACTACTTCAAATTCTTCCCTCTGGTAACAGGCTTACTCCATAATCAAGTGACATCAATGGGATTGCTCACAGAGCACCACCTAAAAATGGTAACTCTTTATGGGGTTAAGGAATCAAGGGTTAGTGAATTTTAAAAATTCTAGTAGAGGAAAGAAAAAGGAGTAAATTATACTAATTCAGAAATTCTATTAGCTCCCAATATAGCTTATTAACCCCCTATCAAATTAAGACTAATTTAAAATAAAAAAATACAGCAGAGTTCCTAATTTTCCATCAGACTTCGGCAGAACAAAAAATTGTTCTCTTTCTCTCTTACCAAGTCCCAAACTCCTCAAAAGGGTTTGAGTTCCCTCCCCTCATTCTCAAAAGCTATCAGCAGTCTACATTTGACTAACACTTTAAAAGTGAGCTAGTATACTTTAAGTACAGAGGAATACTAATTTAGGAAAGCAAATCTCAGAAAAATGTTTCAAAGTAGCAGCACAACTGTCCTAGTTCTCAAAAATAGAAACAGCCCTGCATGACAGTTTTGACTCCTATAAAGAGACTAAAGCTTTTGCCTGCTTATCCTCTCTGTAAAAAAAAAAAAAAAAAAAAAAAAAAAAAAAAAAGCCATGCCAGTTTTTGGTTACTCAACCATTT